GTGCTGAGGATTGAACTCAGGTCCTTGTGCTTGCGAGGAAGGCAGTGAAACCACTAAGCTAAATCCCCAGCCCGATATTTTATATTTCAAAGTAAACCTTACAATGGAGATATTATTAATATTCCATATTTCTCAAAGGAGAAAACTGAGACTAGAAGTGATTAAGTGTTTGCACATATTCACATGCCAAAGTGAAAAAGTAGAGTTGGGGCTCAAACCTAGAGTTCCTCTGCTGGTTTTCTCCATACAACCTTGAGTTTCATTCTGTAGATACTGGCTTCTATGATGACTCCTTTCTAACAAATGTACTTTCCTAAGTCAGTTCCTTAGAATGACTATGGGGCAAGTTGTATGGCATCCTCAAGCCCTGTGATAGGCCTGAGGCAAGATAGTCTGTGACGTGCTAGCCCTTTAGGTCCACTCCAGGCCTGCACTGTCAGCCTCTTATGTATGTGGCTGATTTGTTTGTCATTTTCTCAGGAAGTTAAGTCCATTCCAGTAAGCAGGACTGGCTCTCACAGGAGACAATGTAAACAAGGAAAATCAGAGAAAAGAAAGTCTAGACCATACAGAAAATGGTTGGGAGATCAGAAAGGGGGTGTGTGTGGGTAGGATGGAAGGTGGAGCTCCCACTAGGATTTCTATTCTGCAGGGACCAGAGGGGTCATGGGCCCTTCCTGAAGAATCAGCTTCCACTGACAAATGGCTTTTGGGCCTGTGTCTTCCACCAGCGTATAACCCTCATGATTTCCTTTTGATGGCAAAAGAGACAGTCCTGGGTGATGTTCCAGGAATGCCTGGCCACTGCACAGTGGAGACTTTGTTCATTTTTGCACCATGGTTATTTCTGATATGCTGCCAAAGCCAACTCTCTGGGCTATTGGTACAGAAAGAGAAGGTTGTCTGTATTATGTGCCAGGGATTAGGCTAAGGGAAAGGGGGAGAATTGATATTGCAAATCACTCATCTATATTTATTCTTTCTATCTTCTTGCCTGATAGTTTTGCTTGCTTGTTTTGCCCTTTAGGTTTTACTTTGGCATGTAGTGGTTTTGCTCATCAAATGGCCAAGTGCTAGTTAAAACGCTATCTTTGAGACAAGCCTTACTGTATTACATAGGCTGCTCTTGAACGTATTAGCTCAAGTGATCCTAACCTCCCAAGTAGCCAGGATTATAGGTACCTGGCTCTTTTGAGCCCTCCCACTTGGATTTCCTACATTCAAGACATTTTTGTGTCTGTGTATTTGTGAAGCAGTACATCTAGTTATCATGCTGTGCCTTCTACCCCATACTCAAAATATAGGAATGCTTTGTATAAACTCATGATCTAGCTGTTCATATCCCCATGACAAAGAATAGCCAGGTGCACAGGAGGAGGACCACAACATCTCGTTCTTATCCTGAGGCAGATGTTTGGATAGGGAAAGAGAGAATAACATTTATTTGTTTGTTTATTTATTTATTTTTGGTACTGGGGACTGAACTCAGGTCCTTGCACTTGTGAGGCAGGCAGTGGAACTGCTGGGCTAAATCCCCAGCCCTATTTATTTTTATTTTGTAGAGCGGAATCTAAAAATTGTTCCAGTCCAATAATAAAACGTAGTATGGAGCAATTATAACAAAGGGCTCAATCCTCCTTCCTTCCTCTATTAGATTAAATGCCATTTGGGAAATGGGAAAAGTGCGTGAGAGAGTGACCACGGCGACTGGGGGAGGTGGAGAGGGAGGTGGGTCCAGTTGGGGGAGCTGACGTCGTCGATGGCAAAGCAGCCTGGGAAATTCGCAAACTGCCAAATTAGAGTAGAATCCTTTGGAATAAAGCTCCTCAGTTATTTTTCTCTCTCTTCTCAGAGTTCTTTTCTGGGATTGTTTCCCACTCATTTAAAAGTACAAAAAGTGTAAAAGACCTCATAGGCAGCTAGGAAAACCCTTTAAAATCCCATCACTGCATAAAGGGCTTGAGCTTCCAGCTTTGTTCTGCAGGGCAACGGTGCATTTCTTATCTCTTTTCTCTTTTCCCTTTTCCCTCCCCCGCTTTTCTTTCTTGCATTCTTTTGGAAATGAGGGCAAAGCTTTTATTTAAAGAATGGCGCAAGAATGATTTAGTTTGAAGAGGAAAATGGTGAAACAAGTAATGTTTGCATGCAGCCTGGCTAGTGCACAACTTCAAAATTTCTTGCAGCTCCTGAAATACCTACTATTGATCAGGCATATTCAAAAATCAGCAACAGTATTACTGTAGAATGGGCTACAGTGCCGGGAGCCAGCAGTTATTTGCTCACAGCTGAAGATGGGGACACAGTCATTGAAACCATGGTGGCCAATTCCCCAGGCACTGTGACGGGACTGAAGGCTGCGACCTTATACCAAATCACCATCAGATCCATCGGTGCTGCCGGGAGAAGCCAGGCATCTCCTCCCAAGCAGGCAAAAACAGGTAACTAGGTGTTCATCCTCTGTGACCTGGACTCATTACCCTGGTACTGCAAAGACATAATATAATCTGGAGTCATGTAAGTGTTACAGTTGAGGGCTCCAAAATGAAAATAATCAAATGTTTTGTGGCAACTCGGACATCTGAGGAATAGATGGCATTTTAATGCCTGATGCTTTTCTTTAGAAAATAAAGCCCACTTCTGTGCATCTTTAAAAGTATCCTGATCCAGGCTGAGGGAGGATTGCAGGCAGGATTGCAAGTTCAAGGCCAGCCTGGGCCACAGAGTAAGACTCTTTCTCGAGAGAAAAAAAAAAAAAAAAAAAAGAAAAAACATACCCGCTTTTAAATCTCTGAAAAGAGGGAGTTTTGTCTTTAATCATATCAAATTAAGAACACATAGAAAGATTTTTGCTGTTCTCTGACTGCATAGCACCAGTTAACAAACAAAAGCATTTAGAATTTGTAATCAATATTAATTAAATTGGGGCCGGGGATTTAGCTCAGTGGTTCCACAGCCTGCTTTGCAAGCACAAGGACCAGAGTTCAATCCCCAGTACCAAAAAAATAAATAATAATAATTAAGTTGATTTGACAAAGTTGAGCCTAGGCATATTCTAAAAAGTTATGTGCACGTTAAAACAGAATAAGCAAGGCTGGGTGTGGTGGCATACGCCTGTAATCCCAGCACTTGGGAGGCTGAGGCAGAAGGATCGCTGTGAGTTTGAAACCAGCCTGAGCTACATAGTGAGTTCCAGGTCAGTCTCAACTACATAGTGAGACCCTGTCTCAAAAACAAAACAAAACAAAAAAACAAAATAAGCCATCATTCTTCCCATTGATTTATATTATTACAGGAATATTTTATCTAATTTATGACCAATCTCCAGTTCACAGTGGTACTTAATATTTGGACCTCCCCCATTTATCTGCCACATTATTTATGATTAATACACATTTAAATAGCAATTATTTAATGGAATCCTGCCATGAATCCTTTTACAAAGCGAATAGCCATTTCACAATATGAATAATCAACCTTAATTTACTTATTGCTAACTAATTTGAATTATGTTCCGCTGGGCTTTTGTAACACATTGTCATTGCTTTGTTTTGCTTTACTGTCTTTTTAGTGTTGGCAGCGCCAATTCTAGAAGTAAGCTCTCCAAGTCCAGACTCCATCCTTGTGCAGTGGGAAGCTGTATACATGGCCATTGGCTTTTCCGTGTCCATTATGCAAGCCAATGGCTTGGGTCGAATCTGGAAAGAGAATACCACAAACACTTCCTTGACCTTCAGCAGTTTAGACTCCGGGACTCTCTACACCATAAAGGCTTTTGCATGGAATGCCAATGGAATCCCAGGGGATGACTCCACCTGCAATCAGAGAACAAGTAAGGATTTCTCATCTCGGCCTCAGATAATCTCATTTTTGATTAATGAGGAGACTGCGTTGCAGCCATCAAGAGGAATGTTAAGTGATAAGTACAGAGCAGCTGGCAGCAGCTGGTTTTAAATTTATTATGAAGTTATTTATAGTGCCTTGGCTTTTCCTTCTCAGCAGTTTAAACGCTTACTGCACGGACAAAGAGATGCTGTGAGAATACACAAAGAGCAGCACTCTCCCCTCTGATACTCAACTCAGCTGCAGCATCTAGTATCACACAGAAGGAGATGATCTTTGTTAGGTTTACCCATCAGCCCTTGCCCCTTCCTGGGTTCGGGCCAATAGTCCAAACAAAAAGAATTGGGCCAAACAGGAATTCATTTATTCAACAGATATTTAGTGAGTGTGTGTCAACTTGAGGATAGCACTGATCCAGAGCTACAGTAGCATACAAGACAAAGTTCCTGCTGTCCTGGGGCTTTATGCTTTTATAGGAATCAGCATTCCTGATTCTCAAAGGCCTTAACTTAGTCCTAAGGCTGACGTGGGGCTTCCCGTCCCTTTCCAGTTGTAGCCTGAGAAGCTGGACTGCAGTGTGTGTTCTTTCACCACCTCGACCCCAGGGACGCCCTGAATAGGGGATCCTATTGCATAATAACTGGACGTCCAAACTGAGCTGCTGAAATGAGCCAAAAGAAGGGAGAGGGCGTGGAGATCTTTTCTTCTCTGTACAAGTTGTTCACTACAGGCAATGTGACCTAAACAGATGCCAGACTCTCACCAACTAGATTAGTCAGATTAGCTGTCTTAACCCTTAGGGAGGACCAAGGAAAGGGTGGGAAGAAACAAGAGTGTTCCTTTCAACTTTCCCTAAGTTTGGAGAAGAATAGAGGCCCCATCAGCCAAGGCAGAAATTTAGGGAGAAGAGGATTTACCTTGTATAATATTTCTGTAGGGAAAACCATAGCAAGCAGCTATAGTTATTCGTTCTATGGGTTTGATGTGTCAGGATGTCTATGACAAACCAGGCCCCTGGGCCTTTTCCTCAGCTATCTCTGTCTCTGTCTGTCTGTCTCTCTGCCTTCATCCCCACCATTCATTTTCCCACATACATTTGTAGAGAGAGGACCCACTTTGTGCTGGGCATAGTTTATCTGATAGGAATACAAATTCAAGTAAAGCATGATCCCTGCACTCAAATAACTGACTATGTTATTTGAGTCATAAACTCAAAGACATAAATCGGTCTTCTTGGTTCTGTGTAACAGGTGGTTTGATACAGGCACACAGGCACACTGTGACACAGGCCGGTGCATCTGTAGTGGGTTGGACACAAAGAGCCATCTGGTTCTTTGAAGTCTTTCTTGTCTTTTGTTTCTTTGTGTTTTAAAATTTGTAGAGTTTGGATGTAGCCACTATCCTGGTCTGCCAGGGCTACTGAACAATGTACTGAAAGTTGGATGGCTTTGAACAAGTTGGTGGTTTACAGTTGTGAAACTGTAAGACTGAAATCTAGGTGTTGACAGAGTTGGTTGCTTCTGAGTGTTGTGGAAGATGAAACTTAAACAGTTTCTCCTCGCCTCTCTCCTGGGCCTGTTGTTCCCATGACATTTCCTTTGTATTTGTATTCCAGTGTCTAAATTTTTTTTAATTTTTATAAAGATATCTCAACTAATTATATCTGGTATAACATCATTTCTGGATAAGGTCACACTCTGAGTGTCCTAAGGGTTAGGACCTCAACATATGAATTTGTTCCCCTATTCTACTTATTTTTCCTAGCTCTCTCAGGCCCCATGTGGGAAAAGCAAGTTGTTCTAAAACACTGTAGGCTATCCTTGCCACCCGTGGGCTTAGCATTGTGCCAAAGCACACCTGCCTCTGTGAACTAGCTGGCCATGCAGCGAAACAAGGGGCCTGCCAAGAAGGCCCAGAAAAGAAATACAGCTGGCGTCTGCCTTTCAGAGAATTAATTGAGTCCCTGTGTCCATGTACCCTAGATGTGTCCAGAGAATGCTGTCTCTGCTCACAGGCTGTCCAAGAAGCTTCTAAAGGCCTACTGCAAGGTCTTCACTAGAGCATAAATTCCAATGGAGAACAGAGGCCAGAGTTTCCTCCGTTCAAAGCACATCTCCTCAAGCTTTTTTGTTTCTTTTGTTTTTTTCAGACAGGGTCTCGCTATTTAATCTAGGCCTCCCTTGAACTTGCTATGCAGCCCAGGCTGTCCTCAAACTTTCAGTTCTCCTGCCTCACCCTCTGGAGTGCTGAGTGGAATTCTGCACAGAATTATAGAAGTGTACCACCAAGCTTTTTGCGTACCGGGATAGCACTGAGTAAAGACAGAGAGGGAATTAATATAAAGACACAAAGATTGCTTTGGTACGTGATCGTCACAATGACTTACTTTCTTTCCTTCTTTCTTTTATTTTTTTACTAATACTGGAGACTGAACCCAGGACCTTTGCACCGAGATGCATCTCCAGGCCTTTATTATGTTGGTTTTTTGTTTTGTTTTGTTTGTACTGGGGATTGAACTTAGGACCTTGCCACCTATGATGCAGGTGGCAGAACCACTGAGCTAGATCCCCAGCAAGACTTTTTTTTTTCCCTTTTATTATTTTGATATTGGGATTTGCTGAGTTGCTGAATTTCCCAGGCTGCACTTGAATTTGTGATCCTCCTGCCTCAGCCTCCCAAGGGTGGTGAGATTATAGGCATATATCACCACATCCAGCTATTTCTCTCCCTTTGATCTAGAATGGAGAGCAGCTTTGTTCCTCCAGAAGCAATATGACTTAAAAGCCATTACAGTAAAGTCTTAACAGCAGTTAAAAATAAAGAAGGGATATGTTTAGCTTCATCAATCAATAATAGAAAAAAATATTTGATTTAAAATACAATAATAACATACACATATGGCCCTTTAGTTAGTTTATTTATTTATTTTTCTATTTACTTCTTTGTTTGTTTTGGTACTGGGGATCAAACTCGGGACCTGTGCTTGCGAGATAGGTGGCGGAACCACTGAACTAAATCCCCAACCCTCTATTTACTTGTTTGTTTTTATGTTGCTGAGAATCCACTCAGAGCCTTGTGATGCTTATGTACATGTTTTATCAATGAGCTGCATTCATAGCCCCCTTCTCAGTGGTAATCTTTATTCTTCAAATATTGGTTAAATGATATATTCATGCATGCATACAAAGTATGTACTTTATACTGATTCTACTATATCCATTTTGTAGATGAGAAAGTGACAAATTGACCAGGTAATATGTCTAGGGTCACAGAGATTATTATGAGTTTGCGTTGCTAATGAGAGATGTGTTACAAGCTCCTAGGAATCCTGTATCCCAGTCCTATTCTTTGAACACTTCAGTTTATCTAACTACTCTATAGGAGTATTTTATCCTCTGAGCTCCTCAACATTGTTAGGCTAAATATTACTTGGGTTCTTTAGGTTACTACAAAAATCTTACTTTTTTTCTCAAAAACGTAGGTCCTCACGCCCCTGCCAACATTCAAGTCTCTTTTGACAGTGGGGCTCTGAAGGCATCTGTATCATGGACACCGACAGAAGGAGCTTTCAACTATACGGTGATGGCGTTGAGTGACTCTTCTGGGCTTAGCTGCAGCACAAGTGTCAGTTCCTGCAGCATCTCTTCCCTCCAGTGTGGAACTCAATACCTAATTTCTGTTTTAGCAAGTAATGATGCCGGATCTAGCAGGTCCTCTTCAACGATAAACCTAAAGACTGGTATGTAAACAAAAATGATATCTTTGTATGGCTGGCAAGTCAAAGTGACAGCCATAGGGAAAGTGAAACTTCCCACAATGTTCCAGAACATTCTGCAAACAGTGAAAACCAAAGCTGGGTTTAAATGAAAACAATTGGAAATTCTAATGAGTTTGAATATTAATAGGGAAACCAGATACTGTGTGTTGTGATCTGGTTCCTATTGTAGATCTTGCATGAGTTTTTTTTCTTTTTTATTGATAGAATTATGACAATTCTAAGATACAGTTGGAGTCATGCACAATTCTAACTGTGCAGTACAGGTTACTGCCTCTTCTTGACCTCATATTTCATGACAAAGACTTAGTGGAAACTATTTTTTAAGATAAAGATGGGATATTTCTAGTTCTGAGTGTGTGCAGATATTTTTCCATTTCCACTCCTATCAGAGATAGTACATGTGGACGTTTACTCCTCTATTTAAAAGTGTTTATGTGTTTTGGGAATTGAAACTAACCTTTTGTGAAGATCTACTTTGTCAAAGACATTACTATGTATTTTATTTAATTCTATGGCAACTCAGGGAAGAGATCTCTATTATCTCCTCTTCGGAAAAGAAAATTGACGTTCAGAGAGGTTAAATAATTGTCTCAAGGACATTTCAATAATAAGTGGATTCAAGCTCAGATTTACCTGATTTCAGTCCTCTGAGCAAAAGAAAATGTAATAACGTCCACTTTAATCGACAGTCAGAATTATGTCATTATACATTAAAAGGCTTGTAAGAGGGGAGCAAAAAGCTATTATCACGAAGCTTATGCGCTCTATCCTACGGAGAGAAACAAACAGCAACGAAAACAAAACCAATCTCTCAGACCCACGCTTTCTTAGTGTTATGTTAAATTGTGGCGATTTGGCTTCTATTTTGACAACTGTAATTTATTGTGGGTACATTTGAATTGGTTGTGAGGACAGAATCGCTGGGGGTGAAAAAAAAAATAGGAAACACTTTCAAAAGCACAGACGTTTTGAATTAATGTAGGAGAGAACCCACCTGGAGTTCTTAATTCTTGGACACACTTTAAAAGCATCTGGGGAGCTTTTATAAAAATCTTGACACCCAGGTCCCACCTAAAACCAGCTGAACTGGGACTGCTGGGAATAGAGTCAGGATATGACTAGTTTGTGAAAAGCTCTGCAGTTTTTTCTAATGTGCAGCCAGAGCTAAGTGCCGTTGACTAGTCCTGTGCACTTATCTGTCCAGGAAGTACACTTTAGTTAGTTGTATATAACACAGTCAGTCTTTATTGTGAGAATAACCTTGATTTATCAATAGAAGAACTATGTTTAGAAAGTATTGTGGTTTCCTGAGGCCAAGAAATATGCGATATATTTTAACAAGATTTCCATTAGAGGTGACTAAAATTTTAAAAGCTTATGGCAGCCTAGGGTTGTAGTTCAAAGGTAGAGTACTTGCGTCACTTCTAGAGATAAAAGGAAATTGTTGGAAGAGTTAAGAAAATGTTGATAAAAAGTACAATGAGTGTTAGCTACATTTTTATCACCAAAAGAGATAACTTCTAGGGTATTCACTGTTCTGCTCTCTTTAAATTGGCTACATCTATGAAAGAGGTCAAATATTTCAACAAATATTTTAACAGTGAGAATCTCCATATCTTAAAATGATTATTTTAAACAATATTTCATCCAATGAGAGAATGTGGATGGAATTTGTTATAGTGGTTGGGCCCTACAGCACACATAGGTTCTTTAAAGAAAATCTTCCAGTGGTTCTGGTGCATAATTTTACATGTTGTACAGCAAATTCAATCTGTCGTAAATCTCAGAGTTGCTGATTTGAATTGTCTTGAAATCTTGGATAATCGCAAAGAGGCATAGAAATCTGTTGCCCAAGTCTCACAGCTGCTTATTATTCATCATTTCCTAGTTGCTTGTGCACCTGGAAGAGTGACAATCAAAGAAGATTCTCCCGGCCATCTGTCTGTGGCTTGGTCCAATGTTGATCTGGGTGATTACTATGTGGCTTTTGTCAAGAGTGACGATGGCTTGGAAGTACACTGCAATACCTCCCTCACTCAATGCAATTTCTTATCGGAGTGTGGTTTCACTTATTTTATTAGTGTTTTTGCCTATAACAAGGCAGGACAAAGTCCTTTAGGTGATGTATTCAACTATACCACAGGTAAGTCACATCTGATGCTTGAAAAGGGAGTTTTGAATTTGCTAAAGTCAGCAGCAGAAAATGAATCACTTATTTTACTTACTGACTTGGCACCTGAACGTCATTCTAGGGCCAAGAAAACAAAGAGAATCTTTTTGTCTCATGTGTTTTCTGGTCTAGGAAAAGTTGTCTTTGTGGACTTGGGCTTAAGAAGAATGCAAGGTTAAGAAGTGAAATGAGAGGAAACAATGCAGTTGTCCAACCCCACTCTGAAAAACTGAACCTTTCACAAAGGTCTACTCAGTGTTCAGGGTTAGGGTAGATCCCAAAGGGGATGCAAACGCTTTGTCTCTGAAGTTCACTGGTTCCCTAGGACCAGAGAGACAGATGTAATGGCCGAGATGCAACATAATGTGAATGCTTTGCATTATTAGGACACGTGCGCTGAAGTCTTAACTTGAACACTACCTCATTCATACAATGGGGATAATGATGTCCTCCTTGCTATTTAGTATCCTCCACTACAAAATAGGATAATAATAAAACAAATGTGAAAAGGCCTTTATGAAAAGGTCTATATGATAAAACAGAATTCAAGTATTTTTATTAGCATCACTGTTACCATTACTATCATCATCTACTAGGTTTGGATCTTTTATTGGCAGGGATTATGTTTTCTTTATCTCCTTGTCATCAGTGTTTATCATAGTGTGATCAGCTTACGAGAGACGCTTGAGGTTTGAAGAACAAATCGTGTCTTAAAATTAACTTTATTTACAAAGAAGAGTAATATAATTATGTAAAAGTACTAGAAGGATAATAATAAATTTTTTCAGGCCGAGGGATCCAAATAATTGGTTCTTGTGGAACCTGGAGTAAGAGACTACCATCAAGGTCTCAAGAACAGAGGAGAACCTTCCAGAGTGGCCTTCAACTAGCATAAAAGAATGGGTAGAATTTAGGTGGAGCCGGACATCTCAAAGAAACCCTAAGCTGAGTTAGACATTTATCAGTGGGATTCTTTAGGGCCTCTTCTATAATCTACAATACAGTTATACTCCCCCATGTACCCTAGTTTCATCTGATTTAGTGTCTGGAAAGACAGATAGGATCTGAAAACTTTGACCAAGTTTTACTGCGTCATGCGGAGAAGAGGAAAGACTTCTCGCAGGGGGTTCAGGAGTCTTCAAGGCACACAGAAGTGGGAGCACATGTGAGGCAGGGGATTGAGATGTTCGATGTGGCCGAGTCGGAGAAAGCACAGCTGAGCATTACAACTTGCCATGCTTGAATGTCGTGCTGAGTATTTATCCTCTGTGCAGTGGGAATTACACCAAGTTTGGAATGGACAGACCTGGAGGAGGCTCTTTGAAGTCATTTGGGAGGAGAGTGGCAGAGGCTCTGGCCATAGGAAGGTCAGGACTCAATGATTCCTTCTGGTGGTGTTGTTCTTGTGCTGACTTCGGTTCCCTCTCTGCTCCGGCTTTCAGCTCCCTGTTGTCCTAGCGACATTAACCCCGTGTTGGTGTCTAGTGACAGAGTGGAGATCATCTGGTCTCCTGTCCGTGGTGCCGAACTCTATGAAACCAAGGCTGTAGCTGGGTACACAGTGGTGGAGTGCAACGACACTGCTCCTGCTTGCACCCTCTCGGCTCTGGAGTGTGACACCAAGTACAATGTCACAGTGTATTCATTCAGCGAGGTCCGGGGCAGCAACATGTCATGCACTTCCCGCCTTATCACTACAGGTACAGTACAACCAGGCTTTCTCGCACTGGTGTCTGAATGGTTCCCCCACCCCACGATGTGCCTCAGGTCTGGCATACTGCAAGGCTTAGAAAAAGGTTAAATTCCCTTAATCACTCGGTGGGGATCAACACAGACCCTATTGTACTGGGGAGATGCAGAAGAGAAGGTAAAAGGAAAAGGTGGAAAGAAAGGAAACAAAAGGGGGGCCATGGGGAGAGGGGAAAGTTTTGCTAATGAGTCCCTCTGGCATTTGGTTCCTTTTACTTTTGGGGGACTTGCCTGTGCACACACCATGAAGGTGTGCAAATACTGTTTGTCTTAGTTACTTTTGCCTTTGAGTACAAAATGCTCTTAAACATTTTCCAATTAGTCTAACCATAAAGGGAGCCAATATCCTACTTCAGTGTCAACAGTTTTCTACACAGAGGCTCTTTGAATTTGGCTTACATGCACAGTGTGGTCAAAAATTGTGATGATCATATCTTGGGAAAATCACTTTTAGGCCAAATGGCACAGATGATATTTTTTTTTTGACTCAAGCTGTTTCAATTAATAACTTAAAATCTCTTAGCTCCTTGCAGTCCTGAGATAAAAAATATTTCAAAGGATGCATTCTCCACCATCAGTGTGCGCTGGCGAGCCACTAATGATGATGCCACTTACACAGTGACTGCCCAGGGAGAGAAGGGGCTATATTGGTGCAGCAGCAAGGGAGAGGCCTGTACCATGGGGGGCCTGCCCTGTGGCTCAGTGTTCTCTGTCACTGCTGTGGCTGAAACAGAGGTAGGACGGAGCCTGCCCAGCTACAGTGTGCCCCTGGAAACAGGTACGTAGCACTGACCATCAGCCTGAGCACTGACTTCACTAGGGTCCTTAGGAATCACTTTAAGACTTAAACTTTATTTAATCTACCCTAAGTGTAACAGAAATACAATAAACACAGGGTCTTTGAAAAAGCCCAGTATTACAATATAGAACTTTCGCCATTTTACAATTTCTGCAAAAATATCACCAAAAGACTCTCCTGTTGTCTTACATTGGCATCAGAAGAGTAACCTGTGGACACTGCAAAAGCATTTGTTAGTTTATATTCTCTCAGGACACCATCTACCAGAACAGCTAATGAGTAAACCAAATGAGATGATTTATTATTTATTTCTTTGACTCAGCCTGTTCATATCTTTCTCTAAAAAAATGCTTACTGAGTTTCAGTTTCCTAATCAGTAAAAGAAAGACAATAGGAGTCGGGGATTTAACTCAGTGGCACTGCACCTGCCTCGCAAGCACAAGGTCCTAAGTTGGATCCCCAGTACCAAAAAAAAAAAAAAGAGGAAGAAAATAGTCTTATATGGTGGTTGCATTAAGTTAATTAATGCTGCAAAATATTCAACATAGTGCCTGGTGAAGAGCGAGCGATTCATACAAGAAAATTGTTACTGCTTCATAACTCTGTATATGAATGAAATTTAGCAAATTATTTCCTTGGACACTATTTTCTTCTGTATACAACAATAGTTAACATTTTGGGCTATAAAAATTAAAACACCTTTAAAAAAGCAGCAGAACAGAGAAGATGCTAAATATATATATATATATGAAGGCTCTAAGTATCCTACGTCTTCTAAAAGGGCTTCCTGGAAAATTCAGGTGGCTGTGGTTCTTAGGCGGCTAAGAAATCAAGCTTTCATAGCAGTGACTTACTATGAAATGCTCCACCAAGGCAAAATACATTTTATTGCAAATGCTGGGAAATATTATTGGGAGAAGAGATTAATGCAACCATTGCTTTAAAATTTGCAACTGGAATTATTCAAATTGGGGAACAACAAAGTGTTTCTTTCTTATTCTGAAGAGAAAAAAAATTGGGGAATCTCACATCACTCACACCCTGCTAGCGCACTGTGCTCTCGGCGAGATACTCATTGTGTACACTTGGTGTTACAAGACGCATCAGAGGCACGAATAGATAAAGTTTTTGATGAACAACAGATAGTTTGAGAAAATTAGGATATTGAATAAACTACAGACAAAGTATCATTCTTGGTTGCTTGGTTTTGTTTTGTTTTGTTTTTTCACAGATCTTTTCCAGTAGAAATAAAACCCCACTTCTTTTTCTTTTTTAAGTGCCATGCTGTCCAGCTGGTCTGACAATAACTCAGGTCACCCAGTCAGTAATCAATGTGAGCTGGAGTTTTGAGACAGTGGCCCAAACCTACGTGACAGTTCTGGAGTCACACACTGGACAGTCTAAGTGTCACACCCATCAGAATCACTGCCTCCTGGGATGTATCACATGTGGCATCAACTACACACTGGCATTAAAAGCAATTAGTGCCTCTGGGTTGACTTCAGACTGTACCTATCAAAGTTACTTCTCTAGTAAGTGAATTCTTAACTCTAGTACTAGAGTATAAGAGATAACTCAACTGCTCAAAGTCCAGGCATAACTTTTCCTTCTCATACAAGAAGATTGTACAAACTCCATGCAGCTGACATTCTAAATGTATAATAGTTTCTAAAATGTTTACAGTTTCCACGTGACTTTGAACTTGAACCTTTCAGAAGCTTCTGTTGGTAGTTGGTAAATTGCCTCCCCTAGTAACAAGGTTCAAGTATATGTTTTCTGAAGGGATGGTGTATTTTTATGTAACATAGAGACCTGCAGCACAGTAGGTAACAGCCTGGCAGTTTTCAGAGAGCACTGGATCACACATTCTATTTAGTTTCCACTTTTTTGTTTGATTATTATTATTACTAGTATTATTATTATTATTATGCTACCACCATTCTGTTTTCTAAGCCACTCCAGCTTCTTCTATGGTTTCCTATTTCAACAGGCTGAGAGAACAAAGGCATGTCTTTGACGGTACTGTATCTTTTTTTTTCACAAAGATCAAACCACTAGAAGATAACATGGGAAAGTAAAAACAGTGCGGGGCTAGCAAATAATTCTCCTCTTGCATGATTCTAATCCATTAAAGCGTTGCGTGGAGTCCTATTGGAAAGGACTCTTGAGGGTGCTTGTCAGGTTTAAGGAGAAAGAGTACAGTGCTCAGTTTGTTATTCCTGCCTGGGGCAAGGGATGGGATGGCTGAAATATAATTGTGGCATCCTGGAGACAGTAGAAAAAGTTTTAAGCTGGGAGTCTAAATTAGAAATGGCTTCTTCTAAGCTGCAGTGCCCTATTTTCCATGATTCTGTCTTCTCGTTGGTAGAAAGACAGAGATAATAATAGCTTTCTAGCTTACCTTTCAAAGTTGTTTTTGGAATCAAAATAAATGATAATTTAGGAGCATTTGTCCTATGCCACACATATATAAGCTGGTTTATATTTTCATTTGGCCATTAAATTTGCTGCCTAAATTCTCATCCAGTTGTGGGAATATGGCCCATTGCTTATCTTCACACCTAAAGAAAAATTTTAAAGAATGCATCAAATAATAATTTTTAAAATTTAAGATAAAAAACAATTTTTAAAAATTATACAACAGCATCTTTATTTTAGGTGTTGAGGTCTCCATTTGGTACCCTGATTGACACTTAGCATGTCACCCTACTGCTTGACACATAATGCTTGCTCAAGGTATTTAGAAAAGGTCCCATACAAGTACCTGATCAGCTAGCGTGGATCGTCAACCAACGTGATCACCAGCCTGTCGTGTAAGTGGCTGCTCCGAAGGCATTGTGCTGCTCAGCTGAGGAAAATTTGTTATTTTCAATGAATTGCATTTAAACTTAATTCCACTAAGATTAAATGGAAGTAGGGCCTTATGAGGGCTCTTGACCGGACCCCATGCATTTGACTCATAGTCTGAGTCATGTACAATACAGTATCTCTGCCAAGTGTGGAATCTTTGGATCCCCATTGTTCTATATTAAAAAGTCCCACCCGATACCACCCTCACATATGGATTACTGATTCTGTGGCTAAGCATGGAAAGAACTTGAACATCCCTTCAAATCTTGTCCTACTCTAACAAGTAATTAGTCGTATTATTAGAATCATTTATTTGTATTTTTCCCCTGTAATAATCAAGGCTGTGTTGTGGGATGGTGGAAGAAGAGATTCTGTGTTTGTCTTTGTTCTACAGGTGCCTGCTGCCCCTTGGGGGTGAAATTATATAGGTTGGGCCCAAATGGCATTCGGATCTACTGGCAAGTCTCCAGAGGCTCTGCCAATTACAGCACTGACCTCTATGGCTCCAAAGGCATCTTCACATGTGCCCCAAGGGCTGGCCTCAGTTTCTGTGATGTCCCTGAGATACCCTGTGGGGACGTGTATACTGTGATGGTCTCACCCGTTGCCGAAACAGGACTGAAACTTACTTTCTGTCCAAAAAAAATATATTCAGGTAAAATAAATTATGACCATTTACTCAAAACTAACCTTCAACCCAGATCTAGGAATTAAGACTCAGACAACCATACTTATTTCCTATGTGTGAAATTTCTACATGCTGCAAGGGACCCCAAGCTTCTTTGTAATTGTGATGCTTTATTATTATTTAATTTGGAAACACTTTTCTCTTCCCTATCCTTCTCTTCCCCTCAGGAAAAGGACCAAACACTTGCTGCTATTTACCATATAATAGTAAAGCAAAGTATAAATGATTGGAGATTTGGAGACAGTTTTTTTTTTTTTTTTTTTTTTTTTG